TCCTTTCCCCTTTTTCTTCCCACGCTTGCATAAATTCTCACTTTCACATTCTTTTTCCTTTACACCTTTCTTCCCTCTTTTCCTGTTTGATGTGCTAATATTTTAGCCTTCTAAACTACAGTCAATTAGAAATAATTTATTAATGAAGCTAATTTGTTTTGTGGAAATACTTGAGCATGCCACAAATGAGTTAGTGTTCATTGAAATAATGAAGCAAATTACAGAGGCAAAGAAGCATTCATCTCGTTTTACAGAGGGACTTTACAGCCCCTCTCAGGAGAGGCTACTTGCATCTGAAACAAAATGCACAGAAAGAGTCGTGTGATTCCATGCACAGGCTCTAGTTAAAAATGTTACCCATAATTTGAAATCTTCTAGATCCTCTCACTATCTCCTATTTTTCTGTTACCTTCTGAGCATGTAATTCCTTCATCTGTTGCTTAAATAAGCTGATGTGGTATGGGAGAATCACGATTCACTTTCCCTGGCTTTGCTCACTTGAGCCACTCACCAGCTACCCATTCCAACTCACCTTGACCTCATAGTTGTCAAAGTAGTTCCGTCTATGCTCCATACGCTTCTCAATGGCTGATCATTCCAGAAGTCAAGCCTAAGCTTCTTCTTTGGTAGTGCCACTCCGTGGACACACGCCTCCCGTCAGGTGTCCTGATCATTGATATAGCTAGGCAGGACAGTTTTATTGATACATTCTAGAACAACTTACAAAATATGGGAATTAGGTCCAAAAAACCCAACTCACTGCCATCAAGTGAATGCCGATGCATAGCATTTCTATTGAACAGGGGGAAATGCCCTTATGAGGTTCAGGGACTGTAACGCTTTTCTTCCTGGAGCATCTGGTGATTTCGAACTACAGACCTTTCAGAGCACAGCCCAATGTGTAGCCCTGATGCCACCAAGGTTCCTGGGAAGTTGAAAGCACGCAATAATTGTTACCACGCATACATGTTTTTTGATACATATTTATCTTAAAAAAGGAAGTAGGCAGGAAGCAAAAGGGGAATTGAGGTCTAAAATGGTTACAATATGCAGTTTATTATAGTTAAGGTTGTATTTGGTTCTACTTTTAGAATTGAAATTAAGAACACACCATTTATTTGGGTCCAAGGAAATAATGATCAAGAGCACTGTAGTGCTATCTATATATCTAATAGCTTTGATTTTCAACCTTCCCTGGTATGTATTTCCAAGGTGAAGAGAGAATGCTGGTGTGATGAAAAGTGAATGATTCTTTCCATCTGACGGTGCTTCCACCTGGGCAGAGATGGTCACTCTGTACCTTCGCGGTCCGAGGCATCGAGTCCTGCTTCCCGCCCCCACATTGCTGTTGAGGCATTTCTCACATTTCATATTTTCAGTTATCTCGAGGCACAGCTTTGGGTTACATTAAAAAAATTACAAAATATTTTCTTACGATATGATTGCATAAATCCTTTATCGACAGACACAAATCATTCAAGGGTTTGTATTTGAAGCTTTAGAAATAAGCACATAATACCAGTGGCCATATAGAACATGTCTAAAGTTATTTAAAATGTTCCTTTAACATTTATCCTGTAAAAATATTTTGTGTATTTTAACTTTAGACGTTTTATTATTATGATTATAAAAGGAACTCTGACCATTGGGTTTCTACTTTGATACTAATATAGTGCAAGAGGCATTTGCCCTTTAGCTATATAATCACGCCCTGAGACCTTGAGAAATTACTTAACTTGCCTAAGAATCTCTTCTTCTTTATATTTATCACAAAAGTAATTGCAAGACATACTTATAACTGACTTTTCTATTCATACATTGATTTTATTTAAAAGAAATATTCTCTCACACCCTTTATCTCCTTTTATTTTTTTGCTCATTTTATGTAGCTATTCAGAAAGCCAATGTTCATTGTTAATCTATATCCATACAAAACGAGGGCCCCTGGTGATGCAACGATTAAGTCCCCTGATGCTCATCAAGATGCCATTGGTTTGAAGCCACAAAAACACCCAGCCTTCTCTCCTAAAATTAGAAGATTGGAGAAACCTTACTTTGTCCTATGGTGTCATTTTGAGTCAGAATTGAATCAGAAGTAATTGGAAATATAAATGTGGATTATATGTTCATAAACTATATCTGCCTAGTTTGGGGAGCTTTTCAGTTTTTCCCCAATTCTTGAATTATCCAATGATCTGTGCCATGGAACAGGCTTTGTCAGCAGGGCCACTTGAACAATTATGTGCTTTGCATCATTTCTAACAAAGACAAGACAAATGAATATTGACTTGTTTGGGGTGGATATTAAATGCTTTCACTTTCAGAATATGAGAAATTTGATAAACAGAGTTGAGCCTCATGGTTAATGACATTTCCAAACTCTAGACTGTCTGTAAATAATAGGGAACTTCATTATAAACAATGGAGAATAAAACAAAGAATCTCCTTTTTTGACACATTAGAACAAATGACTTCATATCTCATCTATATTTAGAGAATGATGTTGAAGTCTATTCATTTATCCTCTGATATACATTGTTGGATAAATAATGGAGTTGTTTCCCCAACCTGAAGTCCAAATGGCTTAATACGATAAAATATGGTGACATTTTATAGGCATTTTGTTACACATCTTGCATGACACTGTAGTGCAATTACATACAATATCAGTTATTCCCTCAGGTATCATGTAGTTGTAGATCATAAACTGTTAGCTTAAATTAAACAGCACAGCTGGTTGCTTTAATTTGATGCATTATACTGCAAATGTTTCAACAGCTTGACTAGAATGAACCATCCTGCAGATTCAAAAGAAGAGCGAAGGTCAGTGCACATGAAGCCCAGTCATTTGCAAATCTTCTCTGGGTGTATTAAAAAGCATTCTGAAGGATATAATTTAATGGAATGCATCCAAACAAAATAAAATAAAACGAAGTAGGCGATTTCAATGGTGTCTCATTATATGGAAAGAAATTCTTTAAATTCCTTATCTCATGACAGTGCTTACAATAGCACATTTGGAAAATCATTAATATTGTGCTTTGAGAGTGTTGTGTGCTTTGTGCATTGCTGTAGCCCTGCCTGCTTTTCTTTAAACATTAAGCATCATTAAATCTGCAAAAGAAGGAAGTTAAAAGAAAAGAAAATCCAAATAATTACCCTCTCTCTCACCCTCTGTCACGGATGCATTTTTGTTTTTATTTTCACTCCATTAAGAGACCTGAAAAGCTGTCCGTTCACTTGTTCTGTTTGCACTCAAAATGTCTTTATCTGAGCACACTGATAATAATACCGATCACTCATTCCAACATATACTAATTTTAACTCGAGACGTGATCTTCTAGCCCATAGCAATTAGCCTAAATAATGCTGTTAAAGTAATTCCATCAATATTAAATGTAAGATCAGAAAATAACGCCTCCAAAATTAAGTGTTAGCAACAACAGACACTGAGGACATTAATGAGAGGCTAATACTGATATTTCAATACTGAGAGGCTAATACTGAATTTAAAAAATACATTAAAACAGAGTTATAACTCATTATAACTTGAATAGTTCCTTATTACTCATCAAACCATAGAATTTTGAACCTGATTGAGAAACAAAAGATTTCCAGAAGAATTTACTCTCAATAACTTATATCTCATCTGCTCCTACTTCAAAATCATCTCGTGTTTCCCAATCTTACAGACGGTAATGCTTAACTCCCTTTGTAGGATATCTTTAGCTTTATTCAGTCCCAATCCTTATAGCACTAAGAGCTATAAGCCCCAGCCCCCACCAGCCCCAGGCTGCTATTTTAGACATTACCTGGTACAGTAGGTTACAAGTTGGTCTGCTAACTATAAGGTCATAAGATTGAACCCAACAGCTACTCCCGGGGAGAAAGATGAGCTCATCTGATTAGTAAAGATTTACAGCTTTGAGAATGCTATACGGGTCACTTTGAGTTGGAATCACCTCAGTGGTTGTGGGCTTGGCTTTTGTTTTCATCATGTTATGCCCACTTGATGACTATCTCCTGCAAGGCTCTTGCTAAAGCCTTTGAATCCATATGAATTGCTGCTCTATTGGTATAGTCCCAAAACTTGGTTATAATTGGGTTTCAGCTATGACATTTTCCCCCTGTCGTATTAGACCCACTGCCATGAAACTTATTGCCATCAACATTTTCTGACTCATAGTGACCCTATTGGACAGAGTAGAATTACTTATCTGGTTTTCAAGACTGAAATTCATTCTGGGAACAGACAGCCTCATCATAGTTTCTAGGAGTGGCTGGTGAGTTCAACCCGATGACCTTGTAGTTAGCAGCCCAACTTCTAACTGACTCCTCCACCAGGACATTTGATAATAGAATTAGGTGAACAGCCAGAGTATAAGTCTTTAGGTACCCAATATTATCATCATTTGTTCAGCTCTCTACTTTCGTATGTGCCTAATAATACACGTATCTGAGGACTAAGATGCCCTGGAACCAAGCGCCTCACATGCATGTGAAAGCTGGACATTGGCTAAGGAAGACCAATGAAGAACTGATGTATGTGAATTATGGTGCTGGTGGTGAATATTGCAAGCATCCTGGGCTTCCAACAGAAAAAGAAAATCTGTCGTGGAAGAAGTATGGCCAGAGTGCTCTGGAGAGGCATGGATCGGGAGACTTCATCTCCCATACTGTGTACATGTTATCAAGAGAGATGCATCCCCGGACAAGGACATGATGCTTAATACCTTAGTGAGACAGCAAAAAAGAGAAAGAAATTGCACAAGATGGATTGACACCATGACACCATCGAAGGGATGAAACATAAGAACAAATGTGAGGTTGCGCAAGACCAGGCAGTGTTTCATTCTCTTGTCCAAGGGTCGCTTTGAGTTGGAACTCAAGCCACAGCACCTAACAACAACAAAAAGCACACATCGCCACCATGTGGTTGTTAGCACAATACGCACCCAACAGCACCACCAGACGTAATGTAGAAATAACAACTCATCAAAAAACCATCCCGTTTTGAGGCACCATGATCACGAAGGCAGTTTTCCCAGGGAGAGGCTCATTCATTGCACTCCCGATTTGCTGACCCCTGCGATTTCCCCAAATGTGGGAAACTCGGATGCATAATTTGTGGTAGTGGGGGACTGTGTTCGGGCTCTCCCCTAGAAAAAAATCATCATGTTCCTTGAATAAAGTACAACATTATCATCCTCTACATCCTCCTGTGAAAATGTCCAGATAATTTGGGGGAGATATTAAGAAATGTAGAGGGAGAAAAAAATACTTAAAAGAACTAAAGTAAATGAGACAACCCATCCCTGAGTGTAGATTGAATCCAAGATTTACTCATTTTTGTTTCTTAGAACGGGACTTCCCTTTTCTATATGACTTATTATGGAATAAAATAATAATCACATCAGAAGCAATTCAATGATACATGATAGTAACAGCAATAATGGTGGGAGATGCTTTGAATTACAACTTGAGCTTCAAGTTTCTCAGATGTGAGATATATATTACAGTGAGAGATGAGAGCCAGTTTGTGGCTCATTATCTTCATTGTGCATTATCCTTGAAGTCTCCCTAAAAAAATGGTAAAGATCAAATATAAAACTGAGCCTCACCCTCTTGGATCTCCTCTCCATACAGTTTCATCTTTGCTATGTTTAGCCACATATTTTTAAAAAAATCTAGGTGTTACCTTCTATTTTGTCTGGGTTTGGACTAGTGTACAAGCATATTTAATATTACATTAATTCCTGAGTCCTCAGGCTGCTGTGAAAATCAAATCAGCTAATCAAAGCGGGTAAGTGAGAAGAAATTTGAAAGGTTTTTAAAGAACTGCTGTTAAAAGAGCCATTGCTTTTACAGCTGAGCTCAATGTAATAATTTAAAAAAGTGATTCTTATTTTATTAAATTAGCCTATAAAATAGAAAGCAAAGAATAACTTTCTACTCAATTAAAAAAATCTAGCTTAACTTTTATATTAAAAAGTATTTAAATCAACCTGAAATATGTGTACAGCCATGGGTACAGATAAGAGGTTGAAACACAGGGAATCCATGACAGAAAACCCCTCAGCACCAATAATGAGAGTAGCATTACCAGGAGGGAAAGGGGAAGGTTGGGGAGACATAGGAACTGATCACAATGAATGATCCACCTATAACTCCCTCCCAGGGGGATGCAACAGAAAAGTGGGTGAAGATATTTGTCAGTGTAAGATATGAAAAAATTAATAATTTATAAATTATCAAGGGTTCATGAGGGAGGGTGGGTGAGGAAAGGGAAAAAAGGAGAAGCTGATACCAAGGGCTCAAGTAGAAAGCTAATGTTTTGAGAATGATGATGGCAACAAATGTACATGTGTGCTTGACACGATGGATGTATAGATTGTGATAGAGTTGTATGAGCCCCAAATAAAATGATTTTTAAAAGAATATGTGTACAGCAATGTCACAAAAATCCATAAAACCCATGACTGGTGAGTTGATTTTGACCGTAGTGACTCTGTAGGCCAGAGTTGAACTGCCCCATTGCGTTCCCTAGGCTGTAAACTGAACAGCAGCCGACTGCCATGTCTTTCTCCAATGGAGTAGCTGATGTGATGCATACTTTTTCAGTGAAAAATTTATCATTTAAATTCATCCAC